CCTGGCCACTGCTGTGGAAGGGGTGTGCACTTGGGCCTGATGATCGTGTCTGACCGGGTTGATTTGTGGAAGTCTCCCCATCTTGCCACCATCGCTATGTAGCTGGGCCTGTCTTCTCATTAGCTTGTCCAAGCAAAGGGAACCCAAGGGGTGGGTTTTGGCTCTGCAGATATATCCCAAAGGGAACGCACACATGGTCCCAGGCTCCACTCTGCAGGGTTGGGTTTCCCTAGTATCAAGCCCACTTCACCAAGGTCCCACGGAGGACTCGGTCACTTGAGGGGGGGGGTCCTCCCTCCCAGGTCTCCCGCCCCCCCCTCCCCCCGTTTTTGCGTGGCATGTGATCCTGGCATGTAGGGCTGCTTGTGTGATCCCCAACCCCTGAGCTCAGAGAGTGCAGATCACTGCAGGATAATCCCTCAGAGGCTAAGAGAACCAACTGGAACTCCAGGCAACTTGCCAAGCAGCCCCACCTGAGTCCCCAATACGTGTTTGGGGGATGGGCTCCTGAATTCCCCAGGAGTGATTCCAGAGGGCAGCATTAGTGCATGTCCCTCAGCAGAGGAGGAAGTGAGCAAGGTCTGGGGCTGGCCCCTGGTGGAGCACCAGCTGGGTGTCTCTGTGGCACATCTGGGGAGTCGCCAATGTTCCTGGAGCCTCTGCGCTGCCAGATGCCACAGTCTTCCCCTCAATCTAGCCTTTGTGAACTGAGCAGACACCTGTGGGAGTCCCCAGCTGCAGCCACCTGGCCAAGTCCTCATGCTGACTTGCTTAGCAAGCAGTGTGGAAGAGGGGGCTCCAGGTCCCATAGGTCACATGGGAGGTGCGAGTACATACAGGAGTGAAAAGCGGCAGTGTGGATTGAAGCAGCCAGGTGACCTTGGGCCAGTGACGCCCCCACTCACAGACTTGGTTTTCTCACTTGAGAATAAGCCAACAGCATCCCCACCACCAGCACCCATCTCCGCCACTCAGGGTTGAGGATGAAATGAGGTGACTCACGCGTACAATAAGCTGGCTGCACCTGCCAGTTCTTCCTCTGTGGTTAGAGTTGGGAAGGGGGTCAGCTGAAGAGGAGATGGCTTTGCTAAGCTGGGCTGTAGGTTGAGGGGTGTGGAGGCATGCTGCATCAAGGCTGAGGGCCAGCTTGCACCAGCTTGAACTGCCACAGTTCTCAAACTTCACTGGGACAAGCAAATGCTGGGAGGTATGGTGGAAGTGCAAGGCCAACTGTGTAGGGCTGCCTACCTAGCAAGCTCCCAGGCAAGGCAGAACTACAGCTTGTAGGCCGCATGTTGAGAAGGCAGATCACCTGACAGTGACCTGATGACCTGAGAGTGAGGA